ATATATATTATAATATAACAACTGACCGGGAATCTTTAGGTTTTTATGATTGTATGTTTAGTTTGATTGTTAGTCTGAGTAAAGAGAAGCACATTAAAACAGGGAAAGTCGTTAAGTTTTGGAAAAAAGTAAGACAGGCAGACAAATATACAGACAGACAAGCAGACAGACTATGTGTTTATATAATACGCATGTATTTCAATCTTACATTCGTATAAATATTATTAACATACAAAAAAAACAACAACAACCACCCAACAACAAACAAACAACTTATACCTGTCTCGATAGGTTGGGTGACTTATGTTAACACTTAATTGTGCTTGTCAATATTGTTTCAAATTGAATCAGTGCAGCCAGCTTTTTTTTTTTTCTTTCTTCCTTCCTTCCCTTTTTTTCAATGAGTCATTTATTAATTCCTTCATTCTATTTTCCCCCCAATCTTTCTGTTTTGTTTCTTTCTTTCGACCATTTTATTTTATTTTTCTTTCTTTCTTTCGTTCTGTCTTTCTTTCTTTCATTCTTTCTTTCTTTCTTTCTTTCTTTCTTTCTTTCTTTCTTTCTTTCTTTCTGTCTTCCTTTCTTTCTTTCTTTCTTTCTTTCTCAGTGACAAGTGTTGCACTCACCTGAATTCTGGACTCGGGGAGCTTGACCCGATTGGCAAGTTTCTCCCTCGTAAAGATGTCTGGGTAGTGGGTCTTCCTGAAAGTTCGTTCCAGTTCCTAAAAGGACAAAGTTCAAATCTTGTAAGGAAATACTGAGTCTTTCATCAGATTTACACTAGCGAGGGAGAAGGGGCAGGAGAGGGAAAGGGATGGGGGAGGAAAAGATAGAGAGAGCGGGGGAGGGAAATATAGAGAGAGTTGAAGAAAGAGTGTGTATGTGTGTGTGTGTGTGTGTGTGTGTGTGTGTGTGAGAGAGAGAGAGAGAGAGAGAGAGAGAGAGAGAGAGAGAGAGAAAGAGAGAAAGAGAGAGAGAGAGAGAGAAAGAGAGAGAGAGAAAGAGAGAGAGAGAGAGAGAGAGAGAGAGAGAGAGAGAGCGAGAGAGAGAGAGAGAGAGCGAGAGAGAGAGAGAAAGCGAGAGGGTGTGGGGTGGAAAGAGAAAAGGAGAAAGAAAGGGAGACAGAAAAAGGGGTAGATTCGAAATAGGAAGGAAGTGAGAAAGAAACACACACGCATATATAATAATAATAATAATAATAATAATAATAATAATAATAATAATAATAATAATAACAATGAAGATCATTTCTATAGCGCCCACTCCCGTGTAAACACAGCTCTAGGCGCTTTACATAAATGCATGTAAGAAAAATATTCATGCGCGCGACACACACACACACACTCACACACACACTCATATACACACAAACACACACACATATACATATACACACACACAAACACACGCATACACACTCACGAACACATAACACGCACACATGTATGCCAAACACACACACACACACACACACACACACACACACACACACACACACACACTCACACACACACATACACACACACACGTACACACACACACACACACACACACACACACACACACACGCACACACACATCTACTTGCTTATCACACGCACACGATTACACATCGTCACGAAATGAGAATGAAATAATATGTACACTACAATTCACAAAATACATAAATGGATACATAGACATTTACATAACATTGTATTGAATATGAATCTACTGACTTAAAAAGGATGTCATTAAATGTGTCTTTAAAGATTTTTTAAATTTAGACTCAGATGTATGTCTCAAGGGTTGGGGAAGAGAGTTCCAAACTGACGGAGCAAGGTGGGCGAACGATCTTTCGGCTAATTTTTTACCGCCTTTTCTAGGAACTCGTAAAAGATACTGGTCGCCTGATCTTAGTGATCTAGATGGAACATAAATCTGGATGAGATCACGAAGATATGAGGGAGCTTTGTTATTGACACATTTATGACATAATATTGCAATTTTATATGACATTCTAGCTGACACGGGAAGCCAATGCAACGTTCTTAACATGGGAGTAATGTGGCCCCTCTTCTTTTTCTTTAGTACAAGCCTAGCAGCATGATTTTGAAAACGTTGTAACTTGTGAAGAGAGGTATTTGGTAAGTTAGCTAGTAAAGCATTGCAATAATCGATGCGTGAAAACAAGAAAGATGACACGAGCGTTTTCAACGAGTGTTCGTTCAAAAACATAGACATATGACCAATTCTACGCAATTCACAAAATAAAATGGTACATAAATAATTGATATGATGTTCCATTGACAATTTTGAATCAAAATACACTCCCAGATTTTTTGCTTTGTTAGTAAAATACAGTGTTTCGTTTTCAGTACAAATATGATTAATGTCTACGGGGATATGGCTTTTCTTTGGATTACATAACAGAATTTCAGTTTTATTTTCATTAAGCTGGAGCTTATTATCAACCATCCACTTTTTGATGTCATCAATACACAGACCCATCGTAGTAAGCAAGGTTTCAACATCTGATGGTGGAACAGATTTATATAACTGTGTATCGTCAGCGTACATGTGATAATTCATATTGTGCTTTCTAATCACAGCTCCAAGCGGCTGCGTATATAACGTATACAAGATTGGACCCAATACTGAACCTTGAGGCACTCCAAAGTCTAGCTTAAAAATTGACGAAAGAGAGTCGTGCACAACCACAGATTGTGTACGACCAATCAGGTAGGACCTAAACCAGTCAAGAACATACACACACATACTTCATACTATAACCAGTCAGAATAGACTGTCATCTGAGGTGTAGCTGTCAGGGGCTTCGTCGTCTCACGCAAAGAAAAACCATAAAAAACCAAACAAAACAAAAACAACCTGAGTTCGATTCTTATGAGGGGGAACATCTTTATCCAGTATCTTAGTTTTCTTCAGGGATGCTATTTCCCTCCCAGCCTGCCTCCTAAACCATTTAAACTGTGTCAATGGGGGCGTGAGACGCTTACATTAAAGGAAAGTCAAAGTCGGATACAACACACTTGAATATATGACAACCCCCCCCCCCCCCTTTCGCCACACACACACGCCACAAACCTGTCAAGATGCAGTTTTCGTTAGTGTCATAAACAAACAATCCTCCACCCCCCAATGAAAAAAGCACCCCCCTGCCCCCCTCCCCAAAAAGACAACAACCACCTAGGTCATTAAAAAAGTTTTGAGAAGAAGAAAAAGAGAACGCCCAAATCGGAGCCTATACGCGGGCCCTCATTATTTTTTCAATTAAAAACTGGGAAAGAAGCATTGTAACGGAACGGAACTATACTTTAAAATCCCCATTGATATATCTATTTGAATAAAGCATTAGCCGATCCGTTAGCTCAACTGGTCTACGGAGTGGATGCCCTGGTTCGAATCCTAAATCATTCGTTTTTGAACTCGGGTCGTGTTGTGGAGTTTTCAAGGCTTTCAACCTATCTGGCTCGGCCCTATCGAAGATAGATGTTCCATTTGGAGGTCCTGCCTCTTAAATAACCGTATATGGTATTGGTATGGGCGTTACACCCAAATAAAGAAGAAAGAGAAAAATAATGGCTTTATCTGGAAATCCCAGAAACTGATTTGGGCAATAGTGGAATGACGCTCCTACTCTGGCACTGACCTGTAGTTGTCGTGTGGAAAACGTTGTTCTGTTCCTTTTGCATTTCACGTTCAGGTTGAAATCTTGGGAATCCCCGAGATCGCCGGCCTGCGATTGGTCGCCAGCTCCAGAAGAGGTGGTTTGTGGTTGGCTGGGAACTGTTGAGGGCGTGTTAATGCTCACTTCCTTAGTGTCTTCGATCTGACCAGCTGTTCCAGAAAAGACGCAAGAGCGATCAAAATTGGGTGTATGCGCTTTTCGAAAGCTGGAAATCTTTAGGCGCCTTATTTTTTCAAATTATTAGTTGAGGAGGCTAAATTGCTTCTAACACTACTGCCCTTTTAAGACCCCCTCCCCGCCCACAGGACCAAACAGTTCCAAATGCCTCATTTGCAAATCGTTGGTTGAGGAGACTAAAATGATTTTAACAATGCTGCCTTCATGGAGAAAAAGTTCCCAAAGCCTCATTGTAAATCTTTGATTGAAGAGACTAAAATACTTTTAGCAGTGCTACTTTTCACACAATTAAAAAAAATAGTTTAGTTCCCAATTGCCTCATTTCGCAAAACATCAGAGTCCCAAATGTCAGTATTAGATAATCCTATCAGGTTGGAAGAGGCGTGTACTCACCCTCTGTGTCGTTGGTCTGCAGTCCGAGGAGCGAGGAGATAGAAAAGTTGAGTTTCACCTGGCATATGGCTGTGAGGCGAGGGTTGACCGGTGGGGATGTTTGTCCTTCTTCCTTGTTGCTCCCCGCGGGGTACGATGGCGGAGGACCTTTGGAAAAAGATGTATTGTTTAAAATAGAAGTATTTTACGCCCCCATTTATACAATTTAGATGATTTAGGAGCGAGTTTCGAACTTGCTTGTCATGGCAAGGCCAACTCAGGGTGAAACAGATTCAACAGGTGAGCAAAAGGCCGGGTCACTCGACAGAAATTCTTCCCACCCGGGAATCTCCTGCATGCGATAGTGAAGGGCCTAACCACCAGGGCACAAGCGCTAGTGTGTGTGGTATTGTGTATCATTGAAAACTGCAAATATCAAAATAACCCATTAATTCTTACAAGCTTGCTATAACAACGCCAAACTCTCAAGGAATGAAATGTTTATTTCACTTTACTCATAACTTATCCCAGGGATAAAAATCAACTATGCTTAAAACGTTTAACCCTTGAAAAGGCACAATATATACTATTTGTATTGGAAACTTTGTTGTACAGCACAAAACATTTTTAGCGGAATCTCTTCTGTAAAATGTGTATGCTTTATGTGATGTTGGCAAATGGCCTTAAACACTGAATTAATTACTTACCTGTCTATTACATTATAAGAGGACTAGGAAATTAAAGAAAATCAGTCAAAGAACACAGACATTGAAAAGGATTACATCTAAAGATTACTAAGATAATGGACACGAAGAAATACAAAAATGAGCCTGTAATAAACATTCATAATTGATTGATGGGAACTAAATAGAAAGAGTAAGCAGGTTTGGATATCTTGGAGCAGGATTGAAGCAAACGAGAAGACAACCATAGAGTTTAAAAGAAGAATGCAATCCCAGCATCAAGATTAAAAAACCACAGCAACATAACATCCTCCTAGAAAGGACAATGCAAAGGTAAAAAAAAATAACACTTTTAAGACGTACTTTATTCCTCAGCGCAGAATGAACGTGAAGCATGAACAATTAAGGAAAAAGATACAATAATGATTACATAGAAAGACAGAGGATAAAATGGTTTGGCCACCTGTTACGCATGTCACCTGACCAGCCAGCCTCGAGAGCTTACAACACCAAGCACTCAGACTATAAAGGAAGAGGAAGGCCACGCAAAAGGTGGATCGAAGGTGTTAAAGAAACCCTAAGAAAACATAACATCACAACTGAAAGAGCTGCGGGAGCTGGCCTACCATAGAAAACTGCTTCTCCCCTCGACGGTTAACGGCAACAGTGGATGAAAAAGTAAAAGTAAAGTAAGTAATGATTACAGCTTTCTAAATGGACTGTCATGAAAAGACTCTTAGAACAGGTAGAAAATAACAAAACGAATACGTTCTAAGAAGAAACGATATGGAAAAGTCAACACTTCTCTCCAGAACATTATGACAGTGAAACTGAACAACTTTTTAAGCAAATCAAACGCGGTTATTAACTTGAAAAACATGCTATTCTAGAAGCATAGGTAGAAGATAAACAGGAAGGGGGAGACAAAACAGAAGATGGGAACAACACATTGAAAAGTGGCTTGGAACCAAAACAACTAAGACAAGTAGAATACAAGAGACAGAGTGCTTTATTGCAGAGAGGTACGAGAAGCGAAGAAGCTTGCTATTTGAAAAAAAATACATACAGAAATTTAATGAATAAAAATCAAATGAGTTAACAAATAACTGAACGAATGAGCGAATAAATAAATAAATAAAAAAATTAAAAAATACGTAATACGTAATTCATGAATAAATACATAAATAAATAAACCTTTTCTAGTCTGCCACGAAAACCTTAACTCACCAGCAATCTCCTCCTCTTGTATCAAGGCGTTGGGGTTGCTTTGGCAGACAGACATTGTTATCGACTTTCGCTCTCGAGTGTCGTCCTTTAAAGTCTTAGCGTTTTCAACTTTCTAAAAACAGGACACAATACTAGATACTCATAAGTCCAAGGCAAAATGATGTTTACGTTTTTCATATCTTTTCTAAAACAATATAAAAAGTACAATTTGATTATAACGTGCCACTTCTCTTTAGTTTCGCTTACGCGTGTGGATTTCAATTTAAATGTAGTGAGTTTATTTCGTTTAACTTGACGATCTGGTAACTTATTATTTTGGCTTATTTATTAGTTATTTAAACTTAAGCAGCAGCCCCAGGCGTGTGAGCGCTGAAAGTCTCATTGAATCAGGTCGCATTTCTTTCGACGAACGTTTCTAATGACGTACACCGAGCCCTTTTATTCGAAGGGAGGCCACCGCAGAATTTATACAAAACTGTCCACTCTGTGTTCATTTCAAGGAGGATCGCAGGAAAAGATAGCTCTATGGTTTCTCTCTCGCTGACAGCCAAGCAGAAGTGGCTGCCTGTGTTCTGCCCGGGCTCTGACGACCAACATGGCTTCCCGCAGCCAACCCACTCATGACAGTTTACTTCCGATTAAGAGTATCAACTGGCCGATTAAAGCTGGGGTAGAAGATCCTCACGGTGTCTTCTCAGCTGATTCTTTTTCTTCTGTCCCCTCCCCCCCCCCTTTCACGACCCGATGGAGGCGCACTACCCTTTACTCCTTGAGCACGTGCAGTCTGTTTATTTGCCAGAAGACGCGCTGCTTTGGAGCACTTTGAACAAAAAGAATAATAACTTCGTTATTCATACCGAATTTTCAATTCTGTTTACTTCATCTGAAGCCTACTGGTGTCTGTGATGTAGCTGTTAAGCCCTTGGCTGTAACATGCAGGAGACTTGAGCTCGATCCTCCAATAGAGAGAAATTTTAATCTAGGATACGTATCTCAATCTCTCTGCTAGGATGTTGTATCCCTCAGGGCCCTGTTTGGCCCTGACAGGCAGGGCCAGAAGCTCGCTTCTTTATGCTCTAAACTGAGTCGATGGGAAAGTGAAATGCACCTAATTAATTATGAAGCTTAAAGAGACAGACTACAACATAATTACTATGAAATATCTAAATCTGTGTTTCTAATTAATGTATGATATATGTTCCGTGACACTGTCTTTGGTCTGATTATGATCCGACACACTGGGGGACTGGGGTGACTTATGACATTAGGAGTGACAAAGACCAGTAACCAGAAAAACGTAATTTGCTCCCTTTTTTCCCAAGTGGATTTATTGATTATTTTCAAATAAAATATATGTGTCCTTTACAGAGTTAATTAAGAGTTAACATTCGATCGTTCGTACATATGGCCTTATCCAGTTGCGAGCGCCGTAAAACCTTAGGAAAACTAAACCGTTCGTAGAATCTAATTCTATTGGACACCAAAAGTATGGTTCAACTTAGAACATCTCTTGGCTCAGTAGTTATAAATTTGTTCCAGGTTTTTCGGTACATGTTTTCAATTGTATATCTAATTGGAATCTTCACCTCAGGTCCCTCCCTTACCACCTCTCCTCCCCCTCCTCCCTTTCTCTGTTTCTTACTCTGCCTCCACTTCTTTCTGTGTTCTTGCTGACTATCCACAACCCGTGTGTGTGTGTGTGTGTGTGTGTGTGTGTGTGTGTGTGTGTGTGTGTGTG